CGAACCTTTAGTACCGGTTCGTGCCACGAACCGGTACTAAAGAGGTGGTGGCCTTTAGTACCGGTTGGTGGCTCCAACCGGTACTAAAGGGCGGGGGGGGGGTCTTTAGTACTGGTTGGAGCCACCAACCGATACTAAAGGTGGTGGCCTTTAATACGGGTTGGTGGCTCCAACCGGTACTAAAGACCCCCCCTTTAGTACCGGTTGGAGCCACCAACCGGTACTAAAGGTGGTGCGCTGACACCCGCAGTGCACAATGTTTAGTCCCACCTCGCTAGTTGAGAGGAGCTCGCACCGGTTTATAAGCCCCGCCGCGGCTACCGTGTCGAGCTCCTCTCTAAGCAGGCCTTTGTGGGCCTATTGCAAGTCTTTTGCCCTGTGGGTCCTACTGGGCCGTACGGGCCTGCATCCTGACCCAACTAGAGATTGGGTTTCTAGTCGTATGCAGGCCGTGCCGGGCCAGTAGGCGGGCTGTTTTTGCTTTATTTCAAAAATAAAAATAAAAAATCCTTATCAACCGGGACTAAAGGTCCCCCAGACCACGACGCGCCTCGTGCCACGTGGTGGGCCTTTGGTCCCGGTTCGTGTTGAACCGGTACTAAAGGGGGGGGGGACCTTTAGTCCCGACTCTTTAGTGCCGGTTCCAGAATCGGTACTAAAGGTCCTTACGAACCGGTACTAAAAGTCATTTTTCTACTAGTGTGAGTGGGCCCAGAGATACCTCTCCGACAATCGGAGTGACAAATCCTAATCTTGAAATACGCCAACCCAATAAGTACCTTCGGAGACACCTGTAGAGCACATTTATAATCACCTAGTTACGTTGTGATGTTTGGTAGCACACAAAGTGTTCCTCTGGTAAACGGGAGTTGCATAATCTCATAGTTATAGGAACATGTATAAGTCATGAAGAAAGCAATAGCAACATACTAAACGATCAAGTGCTAAGCTAACAAAATGGGTCAAGTCAATCACATCATTCTCATAATGATGTGATCCCGTTAATCAAATGACAACTCATGTCTATGGTTAGGAGACTTAACCATCTTTGATTAACGAGCTAGTCAAGTAGAGACATACTAGTGACACTATGTTTATCTATGTATTCACACATGTATTATGTTTCCGGTTAATACAATTCTAGCATGAATAATAAACATTTATCATGAAATAAGGAAATAAATAATAACTTTACTATTGCCTCTAGGGCATATTTCCTTCAATTCATCCACCAACTGTCCCCAATGCTACTGTTGCTGCTCGATCCGTGGGTGGCCAACGCGGCGCTTGTGCCCATGATGTGGGGGCCGATGCGTACCCGAACCCGTAACAAACGTTGTGGAGCTCTTCTAAGGTACCCGTAGGAGGAAGCCTCCTCACTCACTCCCCCTGTGCGCGAGCACCTATGTCGCCGGCCCAGGCTGAAGGCCTAGACGACGACGTGGACCCGTCGGCGACCATGTTAATTTGAGGAGCAGCATGGCTTGCTTGATCTGGGCCTATGGTGCGGAGAGAAGTTGAGAGGAGAGGGAGATGGTGGGGGCATGGCAGCGAGGACGCTCGTGGGAGACCATGTTTAAGTCATCCAGAAAAACATTTTGCCTTTTGCAAAACAAAAAAGAACCTATGAAGTAATCAACCCGTGCCGTTTAAGTCATCTAGAAAAACCTTTAGCTTTTTGCAGAAATCTCCTTGATATTTGAGTTAATCAACCCGCAGTCCATATCAAATGCTAACTACAAACTTAAATCCTAACTACAAATGCAGTCCATATCATTTAAACCCTAACTACAAATTTAACATGTTATATATGTATTTTCATTAGAAAAATGTGTAGAATCTGAATATGATGTTATTTTATCTTTTAACTATTTTTAAAATTCTATTTATGGTGCAACCTTAATCAATAGCACACAATTCATCTTTCTTACGTACCGATGCCGATCCGGATTGGAAATGAACACCTCACAAAACATATTGAAGATGAAAGAAATCGTCTACAACCACGCTTGCATGCCTCGGTAGAACCTCGTAGGGGAAAAGAAAAGCAGAATTATCATATTATGTAACAAGAGAGGCGTATTAGGATTGGACACATTTAAACATGTTGTGGTTGTGTGAGCATGGAGGCCACCGTGATGAGAGTGCAAACAAGGATAAGCGGCAACACATATGGGATGTCATGTTGAAATAAAGTACATGGAACTATTGGGGTCTTAAATCATGATTATTTGGTTAGAGGCATGTGATATTTTTTCCTATCGCTCTTTTGCCAGTAATACAGAACATGATGTGCCATCGACATGTGCAGCCAATTGGACGGCCCACACCGCATTCGCTTGTGATTGATACAAATCTAACATCATTTTTCTATGATTGGCATTATTTGTTGCTTAGAGCATGGCTGCCCATTTACCCATATTTTAACTCTACTCCACAAACTACCTCTGTAACCTTAATTCGTCAGCCTTTTAGGAGTTACAATTTAGCATGAACCATTGTGCTGCGAGTTTCGTCGACAATCGTTTGCGGTGAAGTCGAAGTAACTTCCTTTAGGAGAAGTGATGACGGCGACGTCAATCTGTAACGTTGACAAAGGTTTTCTTAGCAGTGGTGTGAGTTGTATCTTGAGTGTGCCTGGTCAACAAATTGTAATGGTTTTGCGCCCCCCCCCTTTTTTTTGTGAATTAACGTACAACTCTTATCCTTCTTAATTAGCCCCAGATTTAGCAGACTCTACCTAGGTTTTGTATTGCTTAGAGCATCTCTACACTTTTCCTTTATTTTAACCCCTCAAACCACCTTTTCTCCAAATTTAAATCCTCAATTTTTGAGTAGTTACAAAAAATAGCACTTAGTCATACCATTAAATATTATCCCCGCATCTCGATTTTGCACAAACTTTGTCATGCAAACACATTTTCAATCATGATTATTAGACATCACATAAAAGCATAATTATATATAACAATGCATAATTGAACCGAACGTGACTGACTAACATAATTTACGAGTAAATTAACTTAAAAGTGAGACTTAATTGATTAAACCGAGCTACCGTTCGGCATGAATGGTGGGCTACTAAAAAACAATGAAAAAAGTAATGACTAATTAATTAGGAGCTACTCCTCATTCGAGGAGTAGAAGATGACGGACTTCGCCCCCCTATCGGAGCCTGATGCATCAACGCCGCTTGTCGCGCGGGACATCAGCTGGTTAAAAGCCATATATCTTATGACAGTAGTTGCTGCCACAATCGTATAAAGCATATTTAACATCTCTTTCTTCTATGCTCTTTTGCTCGTTTGGTTTGGTGTCGTGTCAAGGAGGAATTGCGTATCAGTTCGCATAGAAAATCCTTGCAATGCTTTCGACAGTGGCTCTTTGATTTTCTCTCCACGACATCGCAACTTCAGGCTATGGTCATGTCTATTACTCTCTTGCACGTTTGGGAAGCACTTGTAATGATGTCTGTAACAATGTTACTAGTGTGGATCCTTAGAGAGTAGCTGCAAAGAAAGACACGTGCTTATGTCCATATGGTGGTACAATATTGCTCAAGATCTGGGACCGTAGTACAGATAATTTTTGGTCTCCAGCACCTGCAGGTACGGTCAATATAAATGTTGATACCGCAATCTTTTCTGATGTTCACTACGTGGGGTATTGGTTTCATTGCTAGGAATCACCGTCGATTGCATGCAATGAACGATTTGCTGGGATGCCCGATCCTGAAGTTGTTGAAGCTTTAGCTATTTCGGCGTGCTATGGAAGCTTGTCAAACTGAAGGTCTGCTATCCGTCAATATGGCATTTGATTGCCTTCCATAGGTGTCCAGAATAAAATATAATACCCAGTATCACTCAAGATTAGGGTCCGTGATTTATGATGTCAAGTATCTCGCGTCTGGCGTTGCACGTTGTTATTTCCTTCGTGTCAAGCATGGTTTGAATATGTTAGGCACATAAGTTAGCTCGTACTCCCTCCATTCCTAAATACTCCCTCCGTTAGGAATTACTTGTCACAAAAATGAATGCATCTACAACTAAAATACATCTAGATACATTCTTTTTTGGACGAGTAATTCCGAACAAAGGGAGTATAAGTCTTTGTAAAGATTTCACTGTAGACCACATACGGATGTATCTAGATGCATTTTAGAGTATTGATTCACTCATTTTGCTCCGTATGTGGTTCATAGTGGAATCTCTCCAAAGACTTATATTTAGGAATGGATTGAGTAGTTGCGAGCATGTTGTAAATTATTTTTACCGTGGTGTGATTCCGGAATGTATTCAAGATTAACTTTGTACTGATGTTCATTTAATCAATAAAGTGCAAACTTTACCTCAAAAAACAATGCTCACATGCAATGCAAGCAAACAAGCCAAAACATGACACATGTGGTAAGCAATCCAAACTATTTATGAAAAAAAAAATGCATCATCCCCACAAGCCTTGCCCCAAACACGTTCCAAACGACCAAATCGTCGTTCCAATTTCCCATCTCATGCCAAACCGTGCCACCTTTATAAATAACCTCCAAGCTTTCTCCAGATTGCCAGCCGCACCCTCGGCACATTTCTGCCCCACGCCCCTCACATTCTCGCTATTACCACTTTGGTCCTCCCCGCAGCAGCGTAATGAGCCAAGGTTCTCCCGCCGCGACGGGGTCCGGTTCAGGGACAGCAGAGCCGGCCCATGGGCAGCACGGGGACTCCGCCGCCGCCGCCGCCTCCCCGAGCGCCGTGGCGGCCGATGCCTCATCCTCCTCCTCGCCGCCACCTCTCCCCCCTGCAGCGCCCCTCGAGCGGCCCCAGGAAGAGCGGGACCGCGAGCAGGCCGGAGGCTCCGCTGCGGCGGCGGCGGTCGACCGGGAGGGCGAGGGGCTCGACCCCGCAGCTCCTTCTTGCCCGAGCTCCACGGGGAGCATCTCCGAGAACGGCGACGCCGCGGCCTCCGGAGCCGGGCCGTTCGACTGCAGGCTGGCGTTCCAGCAGATGCTACAGAAGCAGACGGCCATCAAGGAGGCGGGCGGGCCGTTGGCCGAGGGGGCGGGCAAGAAGAAGAGGCCGGAGGAGGCGCAGGTGATGGCGCGTATCTCGCGTTCCCGGCATTCTGTTGTTTCTTGGGGTTCTTGGAAGTCTCTGAAGTGCGTTCTTGAGCGTTTCTTGGTTTCTGTCGAGCAGGTGAAATCGTCGCACGCCATAGCGGAGCTCTGGCACAATCTTATAAAGGTATTATAGCCTGAATCTTGGACCTCCTTTTCTGTTCGGGATGTGGAATTGTGATCTCTAAGTTTGTTGAAATGTTGGGGACGATCCAGAGTAATAGGGGCAGCATCTTGGGCAAATGTTGGGGACAGTTCGAAGTTCTGTAATAGAAGCAGAATCTTGAGCAGCTCGTTGTGCTAATTGATTATTCTAGTTAGTGGGATAGCATATATGATTGCAACTGTAAAATGTGGGGAAATATGAGGGCCATGTCTTGGCAGTGGCTGCTGCTGCTGTGATATGTTTGGCAAGAAATCTCGCAGCCGCATCAAATGTATCAGTTTTCAGTGTATAGAAGGAACCTTGGGTATTTAGTTTGCCAGCAGTACACATTCATTGTTGATCCTGGCCTCCTGGGTCTTCTCTCAGTCTGGCATCATATTTTAAACAAATGGCTATCTTGCTGAAATTGTTGTCTGTAAAATGGGGGAAAACATGAGGTCGTGTCCTGATTACTGCAGCCTTTTAGTAACAGAGCCTGAAGTCAAATGTATGAGTTTCCTCCGTCAAAAGATTTTGTTATCATAAAATTTAATCTAGACATTAGTTCAAGACTGCATAACTGGACATAATTTATGTAAATCATTTGCTGTTTACATGCAAAATCACTGACTACTTACTCCAGGATTTGGTCGAGAAGTTTCACCATTTGGTCGACTGGGACCAACTGGCTCAGAAGCCTCGGAATATTATTTAAATAGTTGCCAAGAACCAAGTAGTTTTGGACACGCACATTTCGTGGTCTTGCTACTACATTCTTGTTGGTTAATCCCATTGGCTTTTTATTCACTTACTTCTTGTTTTGAAACGCTTGATCTTCATGTTGATTGTGTGCAATTGTATGGCTGTCAGGATGTCTGAACTTTAACTTTGTTTTCTTGTTGGACAGTTTTTTCATGGAGAATCACCAGGTTATGTGCACTATTCACAACATGTGAATCACCAGGTTTGACTCTATTTGGCCTTCTGTAATTTTTCAAAATGGAAGTGCATGAAATATCAGGATCAAAGTTGATCACATGATACTGTGGTTCGTGGTTCCTGTACAATCCAACTGTCCAGAAGGATTATGTTCTCTTTTATAGATACTACGTTGTTGTTAACTCTTGGTTGTGATAGTCTGAAAAAACCTGAATCGTTTCTGTACTGTTGTTGGGTTTATCAGACATTAATAGATATTTTCCTCTTTTCTTACCGAACACAACCAATCAATATCAATGATGGGATTATACATGCTGGTGGTTTCAAACATTTCCAGAGAACACGAAACCCAAACATTGGAACAAAAACAAAATTTCCCCGTCACATTTAAAATACGTTTTTCCATGTTCTAATCAGTGTAATTTGAATTCCTGTATTTACACTGTTTGTTGCAGACACATCCCATCACTGAAGTCACAAAGTATTATTTGGTTTCTGATTTGGCTACGGGACAAGGAGTGGACCATCTTGATGCCTATTCAGAATTTAGACCGGTGACTGGAGATGGGGAGTGTTTCTACAGGAGCTTCATATTTTCCTACCTGGTAATCAACTAATTGTTCTCCTCTCTTTTCCTTAGTATAGAATGTAGGTTTACTTAATTTTATCTGTTTATTATGCAAATGTACAACAGGAGCAAGTTCTTGATAGGCAGGACACAAATGAGGAACACCGTCTCCTTGATGCTGTTAAAAGAGTGTCTGTGCAACATGCAGATCTTAGATGGACCTCTGAATTTCCCAGGAGCTACAGAGTAAGTGCTTGTCTTCTCCATATTTGTTTTTTCTTAGATAAACATGCCTGTGAGGGATGATTCTCTTCAGGTTACAGTACACTTCAAGCTGGATCTGCATCTCACTATCTTTGTTTGTCATTTGCAGGGGATGCACAATTTCTTACAGTAGTGGCATGCCATCGCAGTTTTACACTGTTGGCACAAACTCAAATTTGAAGTTTATTGTGATGTTAACAACCCGATCGTAAATACAACCTTAACATAAATTTACTTTCACTAACAAAGGCAATATAACAGGGAAATAACATAATTTTATGCTCGTTTCAGTACTGCAACAATATGCTGGTTATTATTATGTAGCCATCTCACTGTTTTGTTCCTATGCTATATATGCTTAATGACTGACACTTCTCAGGCGAGTTGTCTTAGCTGTGTTCTTTCTTATCTTGCTATGGATCAATATTCTGTATGTATTATTGTAACCTATGGTTTGTAAGGATTATCCACTGAATTATTTGAGTCGCTGATTCTTTCAGGCATTTAAGAAGCTGATTAAGAAAGTAAAGAGATGGAAGAGGCATGGCAAGTGGAAGTGGAACAGCATAGCATCAACTAGCAGGTTTTTGATTCGCTTGTTTTCTGCAATTCCATCAAAGTATTGTAGCCGAATGCATTCCACCTCATTGACATAATTTGTTCCCTTTTTAGCTACCGCAAAGAGAAACTTCTTGAGTTCTTCAGAAGTTACGATACGACGGAAGACAGTGAGAAAAACACCCTTGAACTTATATTTCCTTCTGTTCGTCATAATTCATGTTTCTGACACATTTTATTGGTTAGTTCTTACTTTCCTCAGATTAGTAGTAGCTATCTGGATATGCTCGCACGCGAAGCAGTATGAGCCGCGTATACCAGGGCTCGATGGACGTTACAGTCTGAAAGATGTCAGTATCAGCATCTCTCCTCCCTTGCTAAATTTCCACTGCATCCATTCTTCGACATTTTACCTGACCTGTTGCTCTACAAACAGTGGTGCTTTCAGCACGTCACTCCATCTCGTCAGTACGCGGACCATGTTATGATGACGGCCTTGGCCGAAGCGCTTGAGGTACCCCTTAGAGTGGAGCAACTCAATGGAGGACCTGCTCAGGACATCTACACTGTTCCTGGACCTGGAGTCCCCCTTGTGAGTGTGACCCTTCTGTACACGGGCAATCACTACGACGTCCTCTACCCACGCGCTCCTCCTACCGAGAGTTCAAGTCAGCAGACTTCCTGAAGAAATCATCCTGCTGATTAGAGTTGAAGTCAACAGATTCTGCTGGATGTTGCTGAGTTTTAGGTGGTATAGTTAGACAAACTGGGTAGCCATAGCATACACTTAGTTGTGCATTCTTCTTCTGTTGGCACAAACTGGATGCTCCCTTGTCTGAAGATTGACAAGGAAGAACTCGTGCTCTGCTTTGTCTGAATTGTTGGCTGGTGTACTGTGAATCTTCTGTGATCAGGTCACATTCCAACTTGTTAATTCCGTCCATCTTTAAAAGTTCTAATCATATCCATTCTTGATATCATGATATGGATTGGTCTGTTGGTATGTTGTGGAAGACGCAGGTTTGGTGGACATGTCTTGCCCGTTTTGTACACAGCAATGCGGACGATCTTCCTTGCCTATCCTAATGAAGAAGATACGCATATACTTGTGCAGCATTATTTCTTTTGTTGGGACATACTGCTGGTTATGAAAGCAATCTTTTAATTAGTTCATGTGATTAGTTTATATTTATATGCGCTGAACGTCTGTTTGTGATTCTTTCTATCTCTGCTGGTTTACCCTTGTGTCTATACTAGCTCGGTAGAAGTACAATGAAACAAGTGCACCCAAGAGCACAAAATGCAAAAAGAAGAGTCGCCTAAATTTGAGAAGCTGAACAATTGCCCCTGCACTGGCACATAATACATATGTAGTAACAAGTGCCCAGTCATCCTTCAATAATACTTCCTCTGTAACTTCATATAAGACATTGTAATTCAATTGATGAGAAGGAACTTTCAACTTGCTTGTACAACTGCATCACCACATAATAATTGACGGTCTTGTCCTCTGCTTGAGACAAGATGAGTAAAAAACTTCCTTTCCCCAACAGTAGCGGAGATGATCTTGCTAGGTCAGCACAGAAAAATGAACATGGCTGGCAGTTACAATGTCTCAACAGGAACACAACGCAGGACCTGACAAGCCGTCCTCGGCTTATCAGTACAGGTTTTAGTTCTTGATATTATGTTAAAATTGAATACTGTAGGAAGCATAAATTCCTCCAGTTCAATCTTATGTTCAGATTAAAGTGAACACATGTTGATTGGTAAATATTATACCAAGAAGACCACAAATTAAAGGAGCAAAATAATTCTTCAGTTCAAGATAATAGGAACATCACGCAGAGTAGCTAGCACACATTTCAAACACACATCAAAATGACTTGATAATATTAGAATCAACATGCACAACCATCCCTTCGGTCAAGGAAGGGTGTCGAGATTGCAAAAAACAGGAAACAGTGTGAGCTTCTTGATCATAAATTTATATGCATCAACAAAGATGCTAATAAGCTTATGGTGGATCTGATTCATACATATTGCAGCAGAAGAGGTACAAACGTCTAGCACATAAAGAAGCACCATCTCACAGCCTTCAGCATTCAGACGAACCATCTATTATTCCAGTGTCAGAAAGAAAGTATGTGGAACAAGAGTTTGTTTGAGCTGCAATTTAGTAAGACTGAGTGAATGGCGATGGAAAGTGGCGACGAACTTGCCATCCATGTCAATCTGAAGTAGCCATTCGGCATACTGGACTAGCACAAGCAACTCACCATCCACATGCATGACTACGGCATACCAACAATCGTCATATTGTCCACACAATGCCTTGATCTCAATGACCGGCACTTCAATCTTGCACTTGAAGGTCCAGACCTCGCTTTCATAGTCCCGCGCAACACCCAGATATCGATGGTATTTGCGGCCTCATCACAACTTAGCATGCCAAGCACGCCATCCATGTCAAACAAGTCAGCATAGGCAGGAACATTTCTAAAAACCGGAACAACTGGAGCATGCATCTGCCGGAACGACTCAGTTGTGGTGTCGAATATCACTATCATGTTGCTTTCAGTCTCATTTTGGTCTATGTGCCAATGCAGGTTGCCACCAAACATAACAGCTGTCGTGGCGGCCTCACAGTGTAAAAGCAGTTGCTCAATCTCCGGCGGGAACCTGATGTTCCTCAATGGCTGGACGGAGCCCAATGCAAAGATGTAGCAGGCATCATCATAAAAATAGATTTCCTCCTCATGATAATCGGTTTCCTTATTTTTACCATGCACTAGTATCCGGTACTCGCCGGTAGGGTGGTGCCGATACATCCCCAAGATATGGTTGCAACTGACCTTGGAGTCACAAAGCGCAGGTATGGGAGCGCATTGACGAGTGGCCGGGTTGTAGATGGAGGAGCAGGCATCCTTCCTGTTTATGTTGTGTGAAATGAGGAGGAGGCCGTCGCAGCAGGCCACCAGGCCACAGTCCCTCTCGTCAAGCTGGGCGACGTGTTGCAGCTGGGCGCCGGCGGCCCGGGCCCGATGGTCGTAGGTGATGAGGTCACGGTCGTGGAGGCGGCCGCCGTAATCGTGGCCGGAGGTGATGAGGAGGGCGGGCTGGCGGGCGTGGTGGGCGAGGAGGAAGTCGCGGGTGGAGGTGGTGCGGCGCCATGCGCGGCTGACGGCGCGGCAGCGGAGGAGGGCTTTGGGGGGCAGGCGGACGAGGATCTCACAGATTACGATGTCGTCGAGGAGGCCAGGGAGGAGAGGCGTCGCTCCTGCGCTCGTGGCATCCGCCATGGTCGCCGGCTGGGAGGCTGCCGATCGATCGCCAGATCCACGTCCCGGGAGTAAGTGGTGGTCGTGAGGAAATGGATACTCCTAGTAGCCAGGAACGGACTCGCTCTATCTTTATCCAGGTTCGTTGCAAGGACTACACAGAAATAGAGACTCGGTTATTTTTTTCTTAAAATCAAATAAAATGCTTGAGAAATTGAAATATATGTTTTTATCCACATGATCACCACAGACTAACAGAATATTTTATTTTAAAAAATTAGCTGACATGAATATCCTGTTGGTCTGCAGTGAATCTATAATGAATATCTTTTTTTAGGGAACACCGCACCATGGCTAGCTTTATTGATCAGCAAACATGATTCGTACATCGTTTATAATATTATTACAAATCAAAAAAGCACAAGACCAAGCTTGGTAAGCTGCTATCAAAAAATTCCAAATAAAAAAATCACAAGATCGACGCAATCAAACTCGCTGTTTTCTCTTTGAACCTTTGTCACTGGCGGTCACCTGTGACCTGCTGTTTTGCCTCTTGGCTCAATGAAATGTTCAGATGTAGAAATTGAGCCATCGAAATGCATTAAAAAAACATCAAGTGCCAAACCTTGTTGATTAGCCGTAATAGTATTTTTGGACCTGAACCCAGAACTCGCACCACTTGTTGGCCGACAGCCTGACGACGCGCGCTGGCTTCATCACCAGCCACTGCTTCATCACCTCCATGAACTTGGTACGGAATGATGAGCATGGTGAGATTCTCCATGTCCTTGATCTAAACGTAGAAACACAGTGCCTCTCGTGCTCCCTCTTCATGGCCGGTCCTTGGTGCATGTCCCCGTGACCGTAGCTGGCTCATGGCAGCGACCCTGCAAGTAGTCAGGTGGAAAATGCATACCAATCTAGCACGAACATCAATCCAATGTCACTTGCAAGCACAAATCTACAACAACACCACCTAGTTTGCATCAAGGCAGTGCACTAATCTACCAATCTAACAACAATGAGGCAATGCACTAATCTACAGTAACACTCAAGAAGCAAATCGATTGGATTCGAATCGATTCGATTGGAATCGGATCGGATCGAATCCAATCCAATTCAATCCAAGCCATGCCTAGTACAGCAAACCCTAATCTACATCTACGAGCAAAGGGGGAAATGCAACTTACCGAAGCGGGTGCAGTTGTAGCGTATGCCGGCCAAGAAGAAAACCCCCGCGGGAAGGAGGGGCCGTCAGAAGAGAACGAGTCGGCAATGCTGAGGGCATCGGCGATGCGCCGGTGCTCTTGGTCACGCGGGAGGTCAAGGAAGAGGGCGTAGTCATCCATGGCCCTGCCGCGCTGCCTGGAGAAAACCCTCGAACGGGGGTAAAAGAAACCACTCTACCCACTAGGGTTCCGAGCAGTGGCGCTCCTGACGTCCCATCCGGCCGCGCCATCGGACCCAGGACCACTAGGTACCGATATGGCGGCGGAGCTGGAGCGGTCGACACCTCATTGCCCCGACAAGGGGGCCTGGTGCAGAAGAGCGTGCAGATGGCTACCATCAGGTCAATGCCTGAGTTCGCGAGGCCGGCCACCCACTGGTCTTGGATGCTATTGCTGCCCGTGATGATGGGGGTCAGGGGGCGGCGCGGTGGCGAGTGAGCCATCGGGGGAGAGCAAGGGGCGGTGAGGAGAGTGAGAGGGAGCTAGCGGTGTAAATGGAGGAGTGGGCCGTGACACAAGAGCGGGAGGGTTGTTATGATAGGCCGGTCCATCTCCTGCGCTCCCTGAGGCGTGCAGTGAAGAGGTACATGTGGCTACAGGGAGCCTGGCTCGCAAAAAAATTGTTGATCAGTCGTTCCTCCCGGGCCTGGCCCGGGGTGCTTTAAGTTCTATGCGGCCCGAGAAGCAGATGCAGCCCAGGCAATCAAACATGCCATTTTCTGCTCGCACGCGCTTGGTTGGACCTAATGTAGGCTGCCAAACACGCCCTTGAGTGTTCTTCTTCTTCTTCTTCTACTTCTTCTTATGGTACAAGCTGCCATGGCCAAAAATTTGTGGAACACCCTTCAAAACCCTTTTGGAGACCGTGGATATGACGACTCTGCTACAATTGCTCTTAAAGAATCCAATTGAATGTGAGCTTCCTATTTTTATCTTTCCTTGTAAATCCCCAAGATTACGTCTACGCTATGTTTTTTTTCTCTGATATGGTGATATGCACATGTAGAAAATCACCTCAATATAAGTACGAAGTGTCGGCCTATATAAGCAATTAAGTTCACTATGCTCACAAGCATTGGGTGCCATGTTGTGGTGCAAAATGC